TTGTGGAAAGGGCCCGGTTGTAGGGAGCGGGGGGGTGGCGGCCTTGCCTCCCGCGGAGGGGCAAGCCGGGCTGTTTTCTTGCCTTCCAGGAGGCGGCTGGACTACGTGAACCATGCCAGGAGGTTGGCAGAGGACGACTGGGCAGGGGTGGAGAGCGAGGGCGAAGAGAAGGAGGAAGATGCGGAGGAAGAGGAGATGGACGTGGATGCTGGCAAGAAGTTGCCCAAGCGCTACGCCAATCAGGTGAGCGGCTGCCCGCTTCCCCGCAACGGGGTGCGGGTGTGAAGGCAGGGCAGGGTGAGGGATGTGGGGTGGTGAGGCTGGGCTGGGCACAGCGAGCGGCTGTGGCAGTGGCTGTGTGGGCCTGAGAACAGTGTGTCCTGCCTGGCTTGGTGCTCGGTGAGGAACCATGCCTTGCGTCTGCCTGAGACATGTTGCGTTCAAACAGAGGACAGGTGGAGACGGCTTGGCTGTGCGCTTTGAGAGATTTCAGCTCAGCTAGCAGCACTGGTATCCCTTTGTGCAGCAGTCAGTTAAAGACATCCATCTCTCCCCGTGTCCGGGAGACCAGGAAGGAAGAGAAACATCAGCCGATGGGTTTTATCGGCCTTGGCTGCCATATTGGTCCTAAAAGGCATGCAGCCTTGCAGGTGACCACAGCCAGGCAGTCTCCGAAGAGGTCATCTTGTCTGGGCTCTTTACTCCTGGTATTCAGGAATCTCTAAGCTTTGCCACATATTTATAAATAAATGAAGTGCTGGAGTGGAGACCAAGGCACAGAGGTGCCCCAGCGAGGACTGTGAGCCCTGTGCTGTAGTCTGAAGCTTAGGCAGCAGCTGGGAAGCAAGAGAAGGACTTGGGAGAGAGTCTGTTACGCAGGTTGGCGAGAGAGAAGGAGCGGGGGGCCCCTTTGGTGCTGTAATGCAGGGTGTCGAGCAATGCAGGTTGCTTCTGAAGCACCTAGTGTAGCCGTTGAAGCCAAGTTGAAACCTTCTTGCTTTATCCTTGAGCTGTGAGTTTTCCATAACTTCAGGAGAGTTGTTACTAGCTGATTACTTTTTGTCCCGGATTTCTCCCTAGCTGATGCTGTCAGAATGGCTGGTTGATGTCCCCTTGGATCTGGAGCAGGAGTGGGTTGTAGTGGTGTGTCCTGTCGGGAAAAGGGCGCTCGTCGTGGCGTCCAGGGTAAGTAGCGGCAGTGGTGATGTCTCACCATTTGGTAAAGAACCTGTACCTGTTGCCCAGCCAATGTAAGACTGGCTCATGTGCCTTGCTTGACCTTTTTTTTTTTTTTTTTTCTTTTTTCTCTCCCACTTCCTCACAGGGCACAACAGCAGCTTACACCAAGAGTGGCTTCTGTGTCAACAGGTTCCCATCACTGCTGCCAGGGGGGAACCGGCACAATTCAACGAGTGAGAAAGGTAATGGTCTGACGAGGCTTTTGGGATAGAGAGAGGGGAACCGCCTGCTTCTCCTTGTGAGTGTGTGCACCAGCAGGCTTGGTGCTGCTCCTCCAGCTCCCCCAAGTCCCAGAGCTGTTCCCTTTTCTGGTGCTGGGGGCAGTTAGCTTCAGGCCTGTTCATACATCTCTGGGGATAAGTAGACGTGGACAATATCAGAAACCTTTATGCTAGGTGATAATGTCTTTTAATTAGCTGCCTGGTTAACTGACTCTCTTAAACCTCAACATCGTCTCTGTCTTCCGACAGAGAGCTGTGTACGGTGTGGTCTTTCTTAACACCTCTTGCAGTTGCTTTCTTGCCCTGAGGAGGGGTTACTGTTCGCTAAATGCCATTTTCTGAAGCATGCCTTTGCTTGCTCTGCCTCTGGCTGGTACCTTTGTAGCCTTGTTGGACTCCTCAAGCTAAAGGATTTTTGTGTTTGCAGCTTCTATTAGCAGAAGGGGATCCCTCTGCGCTTTGCAGCCTTACATCAGGGCATTTGCCTGTTGGGTTAGGCAGCTTCTGGAGCATGTCTGGACCACCCTGTGTTTGTTTGCACAGTGTACTGCATCTTGGACTGCATCTACAATGAGGCAAAGCAGACGTACTATATCCTCGACGTGATGTGCTGGAGAGGACACCCTGTTTATGACTGCCAGGTACTGAACCTTCCCGCTCTGCCCTGCCCTGCCTTTTGTTCCCTGTTTGTGAGCTGCTTTGCAGCCAGCACTGGACATAGCCCACTCGCTATGCAGCAGGATGGGTGTTTTGTCTAAGCACCAGCATCTTCACCGCTTATGGGCTGCTGGCTACTGGAATAATTGGGTACATCTTTTGGGGGTATCAGGGGAAGAGTTGGGGGTGCTGTCTGGCTCTGCAGGTGAAGCTGAGTTTGTAAATCTCCTGGGCAAGTGCAGAGGAATGGAGACGCTCAGCAGGTGCTGATCAGCGATGTGTGGTGGATAGTCATTAAGTCTCTGCCTCCTTTCACAGACCGACTTCAGATTCTTCTGGCTCTCCTCAAAGATCCAAGAGGAGGAAGGGCTGGGAGAGAAAAGCAGGATTAATCCAGTAAGTTCTTTTCAATTTAGAGGAGGAGGAGGAGGAGGATGGGGGGTAAGCTCTCCTGTTCAGCAGGCTTCAGCACTTTCTTTCACAAGCGGAAGCTTCCCCCCCACCCCCCGCCCCCTCAGATCAGGCTTCAAAGTGTACTTCTGATGAAATGGGATGCCATGTTCAGGATGTAAATAGAACCACTGAATATTGTAAATGAGTGTGGTTTTTTTTTCCCCCCAGCCAAAGTGCTGAGGGAGATCAGACTGCAGGGTATCAGCTAACTTCCATGCTGTTTTTAGCTTTCCCTTGAAACAGAATGGAAAATGATTGTGGTTTCTACAGGGCCAGCATTGGTCGGCAGCCTGACTACAATGGGATTTATTCTTGCGTAGTCTTGTGGGCTCACAAGGCAAGGGGAAAGGCTCATAAAGCTTTAGCCTTCCCCCCTGCTTAAACTAATGATTGAAGTTGTCGGGATGGATGCCAGATTGCCACCCAGAGCCCTTGCTGAGCAAGGATAAAAAGTCTTCCTTTGAAGACTTATGCATGGAGGTCAGACCTAGAATCCACAGCAGCTTGGAAGGTGATTTTGGGGGACAGACATAAGAGACTTAGCAGCCTGGCTGATGGAGCACAGTTTGCAAAGCGGGACCTAATCATTGTGTAGCCCCAGTGTATGCTCAGACACAGCTACGCAACGCAGATCCTGTGCATTGAGCAGATGGGTCACGAACGGGGATGACTGCTCCTGTGCCAGCAGTGAAGGTATCTGTATTTGGAGAACATCCTGTTCTGAGTCTAACAGGAATATCCAGAAGGAGACAACTACCTAATGAAGGGGGGGTCGTTTCAGCTTTCATTTCCTGGGTGGAAAGATTTGCTTGGCCGAGCCAGCAGCCTGGAGCAGACGTCTGTCTGCTTTGCATCCTGCCCAGAGGTCATAATTTTCTATTTTGGTTAAAAGAGCATCTCAGGGTCAGCTCTACTGAAAAGTCCTTCCTGCAGTCTTAGATGCTTGGAAAAAAAGGTATCGGGAGCATCTGAGAGCTGTGCGCCGAGTCTCTGCCATCTGCATCTCTCATTAAATGCCAGAGTGGGGGTTGTTTGGAACTGGGGTGATAAAATACCTGAAATAGATCATTCTGGGCACTCTAGATTCCATGCTGTCTAGGCATCGTGGTGGCAATCCACGGGTCTTCTTTTAAAGGTCATCTTCTGTTTCTGGAATGAGATTTGTAAAGTTGCAGCAATGTATGTGCTTTATCCACCATTGCTGAAGAGAGAGCAGGGATTATCTCTTAACGACCATTCCCACCCCATCCTCTCTGGTGGCTAGGGTGATTTTTGTAGGTTTTCATGCAAGTACTCCCAGTTATTCTAGTGGGATATGATGGGTGCCAATGGACAGCTTGGTCCTGTTGTTTTGTCTCTAGATCTGGGGTTTGCTTACAAATTGCTGTTTGGAATCACACGAGAGGTCTGTCTGTCCCAATAACCCATAGTAATCGCAGAGACCAGTCGCTATGGACAGAGTAAGAAATGGGAGATACCTATCATGTTCCCTCTGACTTCATCAGCCAGTGGTTGTACCTAGGTCATGGAGTTAACGGGCATCAGGGGACCTGCCTTTCAATTTCAGGAGCTGGTCTAATCCTCGTTGGAGCTTGTTTGTGCTTTTGGGCCCCCCGATACCCTTTGGCAGGAAGGCCAGCAGTTTAACGATGTGGTCCCTGCTTGAGATTTCCTCTCTGGTTACTTTATCTGACACCTGTCCCTCGCCCTTTGCCTCTCATGCTGGATCTTGCACTGAGGGAAATCCTTCCTTCTTAGCTGCCTCCACACCAGTGCTCGATTCAGTGACTTGTTCGGCTTTAGGCCACGCAGTTGTCTCCTCTAACCGTCTCTTACTCTTTCAGTTCAAATTTGTGGGCCTGCAGAACTTCCCCTGCTCCTCGGACAGCCTGTGTAAGGTGCTGGCTATGGACTTCCCCTTCGAGGTGAGAACACGCAGGTGGGGGCCTGGACCTCAGCCTTAGAGACAGCCCCGCTGTGCATCTGCCAGTGCTTGGAGAGAGGTGCATCCCCTTCACTTGGGAACTGTGCTCTCCCGAGACCTGCAGGAAGCTTGCTGAGCTGCGCTGCGTTGGGGGTGGATGCCTTTTATGCACATGGCTGATCTGTTACCCTATCACCAGGTACAGGCTGCACCCAAACAAACTAACTAGCAAGAGTTAAACTGTAGCATTCTCTGTTTGGGCTGCCTTTACTGCCATTGACTGTTGTCTGAAAGAGCCCTTGGGGAAGAGAGGGTTGATGCGGACACCCAGAGTGCCTCCAGAAGCAGCGTAGCTCACATTCATGAGGCAGTGTGATGGACAGCTGGCCTTTTTAGGGCCAAAGCTGGTACTGCCCGCTGCCCCGGGTGGGCTCGTGTGGGGATGGTGTGAGGATCTCTGCGGTGTGCTCCCTTATGAGGTGGTGTTTCTCAAGAGGTCTGCGGGGTGGGCAGAGTGGTGTCTTTCTCTGACCTCTGTCACAGGCTCTGTGTTTCCATAGTCTAGCTACTTCCATCTCTCTGTGTGCAAGGCACCCAGCTATCTTGTGTCTTGTGGGGGGGGGAAGAGAAGGGTGGTGGTAAGCTCCTGATGGTTTCTGAGGGGTTCGGGTGTTAGTGGTGGGCACCTGAGACATACTGGAGCTGGGGGCAGGTGGCTGTAACAGAAGTGGCTGGGAAGGGGTCAGATGAGTCTGTCCTCCTGCTATACCGCTATTGGATCTTCTGGAGGGGATAGCGCAAACTCTGCTTTTTGCATTGGTACAGAACCGGCAGCTTCCTGCCTTTGGCTCCTGCTGCTCTTGGCTCTCTCTGAGGTGGGCATTCCCCCAGCAAGAGCGGCTGAACAGGATGCCTGCATTTGCTTCATTAGCTTTAGAAGTAGGTTGTGCTGTTCAGGCCTCTCTGCTGTGGGAGAAGGGCAGGACAGGCAAATCGATGTGCCACCCAGTTCAGCTCTGTGTGGTTGTGAGCAGCGAGGTGGAGGCCCTCGTGAAAACAGGCTGCTTTTGACTGCCCTGGCTGACTTGGCACTGAAGCAGAAGAGGATGGAGGAGGTGATGGCATTCTGGGACAGTGTCAGTGACAAACATCTGGGAGCCAGAAGGTCCTCCAGTGGCTGCAGCAGTTCCTGCAGAGTGCCCAGTCTCAGCCCTAGATGGGGAACAGCCTCTACAGGGGTCACTTGTCCTGCTAAGCCAAAAGCCACGGTGTTTTGGATGTGTCTCTTGTGCTCTCCTGGCCCAAGTTAGTGATTAACGTAAGTGCAGGTTTAAATTTAAGGGACGCTAATTTGGCTGTGGGGGCTGACTTTGCCTTCTGCTTGTCAAAGCCAGGACAGTCATGCGAGAGAGTCGGAAAGTCCCGGTCCCTTGCTGGTCTTGCCAGACCCCGCTCCCAACACAGATCGGGGAGTGCTGAGAAGGCATCCCAGGTTTCCTACAGCTGACTTGCTCAATTACAAATGCTCTGAGTGCCTCTGTAGAAACAGTCCTTCCTGTCTTTACTGAAAAAGCTACTTTCCTTCCTGAGGCATCTGCTCCAACGAGAAAAGGCTGAGGAGTATTGCCCCACTGCGGTCGGAGCAGAAAACTTTCGGCCTGCGAAGGAGACTGTTGCGAAATGCCGGGGGAGGGAGATGGAGTTGATCAGACTCTGCCTTGCAATCCAGCTGCGATTTTTTCCCCCCAGGTTCTCTGGCCGATACATCGGGGTGCGACCCCAACAAGTGAAATGTGGTGTAATTTGGCTCAAAGCAGCCGGTAACCCCACAGAAACCGTGGTGCCGCTTCCAGGAATGAAGGGAACCGTGGGTCCCTTTGTGATGTGCCACAAGAGGGAGCCCAAGAAATCCCTGTAAATAGCTTCCACCAACGGCACAAAACGAAATAAACTTTGCAGAAGGCAAAATACAGCCTTGCTATAGGTAGTGCAGTATGACAGAGGTGGTCTTATGCCCGGGCCCAGCATCTTGTGATCCTTACAAAGATCTCATGCATGTGGTGGCAACAAAAGTGGTCAGTGCTTTCAGATCTGGGTCTTCAGAGTTAATCTATAACCTTAGACTTAGGACCTGATCTGCTATATTCAGTGGAAATTTTTTTCCGCTTAATTCAGTGGACTTTGGATCAGTTGACTGGCACTGAATTTGAAGTGTTTTTTTGGAGTGGATCATCAGAGCTACTGTCCTACTCGCAGATCTGAGTAAAACAAGATTCAGGTTCCCACGAAGGCAGGGGGAACCAAAGTCTCTGAGAAACCCCGGTGTGAAGGAATGGGAGTGCTGTTAAGCACCTAAAATCTGAAAAGCACAGTCTGAAATGTGAAATCCTGTCAGGCCAGTTTCTCATCAGGTTCGTTCATCTAGGGACAGTGTCAGCCCTTGTTCTGATGTGGCTGGTGTCAGTGTGGTGACTCAGGGTAGGGACAGAGCCAACAAATTAAATAAACTGGAAGGAATATGGGAATAACTTAAGAGAAATCAGGGGAAGAAAGAACTTGACCTAACTCTCCATCAGGCTGAACATCTTTGAATTCTCTAGCTTGGAGAAGATCTTTGGAGCGGTCTGGAAGGAGAAGCCTGTCCAGGCTCTGATCTTTACCAAAACATTCCTGTGGGTGCCAGAGAATCCCCGTTGCTCATCAAGTGCCACGCACCCACAGGGATGGGCTGGGTGTGCAGGCGTGGTGCCACAGTGCCACAGAATCTGGCTCTTCCCAAGTCTTCCCGGGAGGCAGGGGGAGGGAAAAGCTTTGTACTTTAGATATCCAGAGGGTTACACAAGCTCATCATGACGTTTACTGTTCTGGTTTTATATTTTCCTAGCCCAGGAATCCCCCTTTTTCTGGGATTATTTTGCAAGATCTTAACAGTGACTGAAAATTATGGACAGAGTAGTGCAAGAAGCTCTACCCGCTCTGCTGGAGGTTAGGACCTGTGGTACAGAGATGGAGACAGGCTGCTCTTTGCTCAGCCTGGCTCACAGTCCAGCACCATAGCTGAAATCACCTGAATCCACTTGGTTCACCGACACCTTAGCTCACTGCTGATATATGTGCCGCTCTGCTGTATGTATTCTGGGGGCTGTAGGCTCGGGGAGGGGCCTGGGAGCAATTCAGCCCAAGGTGGGCTCTTTTTCTCATCGCTTCTGCCCACTCAGCTACTCTCACTCATAGCCAAATGGCCTTTTAAGAGCTTGCGAGGCTGAGCTAAGGGGAGCACCACCTCCAGCGTTAGTCAGCCCGACAGCAGGATCTAACCTTGCGGAGTGCACTCCTGGGAAGCGCAGGAAGATGGGGGGTGAAAATCCCTGAGCATGGTGGGGAAGTGGGGAAAACGTCAGCCAGCTGCAGTATTGCAGAGCGTGGAAATAGTAGCACAAGAGTTAGGGCCTAAACCTTCAAAGTCCTGAGTGCCCTTAACTGTCATTGATTGCTGGAGAAGTTCTCTCTCGGGAAACATGAAGAATTTATTTTGCATAAGCCAGCTGAAAGACCTTTAGCAGCGTTACGAATCAGGGCTCCTTGGCGTCATGCGCTCTGACTAATTACTCTCCAAATGTATTATTTAAAATAACCTTAATCCAGTAAAATGGCCTTTCTGTGTGCCGCCTTATTCAGAAACCTGATGGCTTTTCTGCAGAATGGGATCATAGCAACCAGAGGAAAAGTACTGGTCAGTGCCGACATCAGGCTGAAATTGTTTGCCTTTGATGATTTAAACCCATCCGGCAGTCGCTGGGCTTGCACCGATCTTTCAGGGCAGGAGCTCTGCAGGTTTCTTCTTTCCCTTCCGCTATTTATTGCACTGCTTGAGGAAAAATGATCCAGCTGGTAGTTTTGGCCTGTAAATGGAGAGTGGTGCTGTCGTCTGGCACTCGGTCATCCACCTGCAAAAGCCTCCAGCTCTGGCCTTTCATTCACTCTCTTTTTCCTTTTTACAGGTCGATGGACTTCTCTTCTATCACAAACAAACCCACTATACCCCCGGCAGCACCCCGCTGGTGGGCTGGCTCCGGCCTTACATGGTACCCGAAATCCTCGGGCTTGCCGTGCCCACTACCGTGCTCACTGCCAAACCAGACTATGCTGGGCGTCAGCTCCAGCAGATCATTGAGAGCAAGAAGATTAAAAAGCTGGCAGCAGAAAAGGGTCACCTGAGCATTGCAGCGGCTGCAAGGAATGGACATTACGAGCTGGAACACTTGTCTACCCCTCAGCCAGAAAACTCTCTGGAGGGCCAGGATGAAGCAGTGAGCCAGATGGAGAATTAGGCTGCTGGGACAGACTGGTTGGGTAAGGAGAAAGCAAAAGGTTCCCTGCTTCTTACTGTCACTCACCCTCCCTGAGAGGGGGACAAAGGTAATGATAGGATGGTTTTGTTTAAAGGGCATGAAAGTGGAATATCTTGCTCTAAGTGCTGCTGGATTTTTTTGTTGTTGTTTGGTTTTTTGGTCTGGGGTTTTTTTTTTTGCTTTTTTTGTTGGTTTTTTTTTTGCCAGGGCTTCTGTGAGGTCTTAACAGGATTGTCTGGTTCTTTGCTAAGGCAGTTGTGCGTTGGGAAGTGAACGTTCAGCTCCTGACCCTGCTTCTGTTAAAGTCTCTGGCAAAGCTTCAGCATAGGAAAGTGCTCAGACCTCCAAGGTGCAGCTGCTGTTCATAACCCCAGCCCCAATGGCAGCCCCACCTCCCCGGCCCCGGCAATCGGGGCATTTCAGCCTTTGATCCAGCTGTTTACCAAGGCCTTCTCAATGAAAGTTTTGTAGTCAGTTCACTTCTAGTAACAAAAAGTTTGCAGCAGGCTGCTGTAAATCCAAAGGCAGGGCTTTCCACACCCACATGTTACTGAGAAAAACTACATTTCCTTGCATCGCAGCAGGCCCTGCCTCCGAGCACAGCTTTGTGCGGCGCAAGCGCAGCAGAAGCCTGTACTCGAGGCTTTTCTCAGTAGGGGGAGGAAGGAATGGTTTCGCTCTGAAAAACGCTAGCATTGATTGTGCCAAATAAAAGGTTTCTCAGAAAGACAAATTCTTGAGCGTCTTCCTGCTACCTAAGGGTGGATGCGTGCTGTGCCTCCCAAATAGGGATTGAGAAATCTGTTACAGCGCTAACTGGAGCAGAGGAAATGCTTGTGTAGGTCTGATTCTCCTCCACGCACTGAGGTGCTTCAGACCCTCCCCGCCGCTGCCCCTCTTATCCCAGCCCAAGCCTGCTTTGCAAGGACTGGCTGCTGCCTTTCCCTGGTTATAGGGGGGATGAAAGGATTGTACTCACCGTCCCCAGGCTGTTTTCCAGAAGGGAGATTAAAAGGCCAGAGAGGGACCACTCTCTCCACAGAGGGGGGAGATGAAATATCAGGCTAAACACGGTGCTGGGGAGTCTCCTCCCAGCCGTCTATGAAAATGCCCCTGGAGGAGGGCCCGTATCCAGGAGGAGATACCGAGAGCAGGGACGGCTGCCTGCAGATAGCAGGGACACTTGTATCCTGCCCTCGCACCCCGTTTTTCCCAGAAAAGCACTTGTTTCTGTGCCAAGTGTGTGGGCTGTGTGCAACCGTCTGGCTGTGCGGCCGCTATTGATTATACCAGCGGGCAGCAGGAACTGTCCGAACTGCGGCCAGAGCTGGCTATGGGAGGGGGCTGGCCTTGGCTCCCCCTCCCCAGGAGGGGAGAAAACAGCACCCCGATGCAGCTGAACGTGCTGCAGTCTTTTTCAAATGGCTGCTTATTTTGTTATTTTTATTGTTAGTATTTGGGTGGTGTTTTGGATTTTTGGGGTGGTTTTTTTTTTTTTTTAGCATGTGAAGCAGCTGGCCCGAGGGAAGAGAACAAACACCTGGACTGCCTTGAACTCCCCGTCCCTCGAAGGCTCTGGGCTGCTCCGGCTGTGGGTTCCCCCTATGCTTTGGCCTCACCAGCTGGCAGAGGATTGCAAGGAGAGCCCGAGTCGGGAGACCACATCCAGCCTCCTATCAGCGTAGTTTTCCTTCCATCAGGCAATTAAACCCGGAGGTGGGCATCTGGATGTAAGATTTGTGCATCCCTTAGGGCAGAGAAAGCTGCAGCTCGGGTTACCGCCTCCCTGCTGCCTTACAGCAACCTTTCAAGGTCCTCCAGCCAAGGGAAGGGAGTGGGCAGGAGAGAAAATACAGCTGAAGACGTGCTGCCTTCAGCTGCTTGCTCTGATTGATGGAGGAGAGCAAGAGGGAAGCAACTGTAGCTTTCCACCGGCTCCAGATGATGCCGCATAGTTTCCCTTTTTAAAGCACGAGCTGGGCTGGAGAAATAAATATTTGCGTTACAATTCCTGTTGGAAACGAAACGCTGTGTTTGGAGAGAGGGTGTTAAACGGAAGTCACCAGGGCCAACGGAGTTCGTTGCTGTGGCTATTTTATTTGCTGGGTGCGATCCCGCTCCCAGCTGTTCCCTGCCCTGCTCCCAGCTGGAACGGGCGGCAGCTTCGGCAGCGACCGAGGAGGGGTCACCCCGCAGGAGCTTAAATTTAGTCTAGGGCAGGAGAACTGAGCGGGCAGCTCAACCTGTAGATGTGGCCTGGGGTTCTGGAGGACGGATGGACAGACAGCTCTCGAACCCGCCTCCAGCCCCTTGCCTCTGCCCTTTCTTCCATTTTCTCCGAGTTAGGTGCAAAGGCTCTGGCTGTGGGCACATTGCCAACGCAGTCCTCCTCAGATGAACAAAATGTCCCCCGGTCCCGGGGTTTGGCTTTTCGGTGGGGCCATTACTGTGCACCACAGGGCCCTGCTCCCCGCTGGGATCCCCGCTTCTTCCTGGTGGCCCCTCCAGAGGAGCATTGGGGCTCTCCATCCAGGCCCTGACACCTGTGCCTGGTCAGGGAATGCAATTTAGGGATCACAGAGGAGGGAGAGCAAAGAAATGGCTGGAAACCCCGGGTGCCTCTTTGCGCAGCGGGAAGACGCACGCCTGTCTCTCCTGCCCGTGGGGAAAGGCTGCAAGGCAGAGGCTGAAGTACCGGCAAGGGAGGATGCCGCTGCCACGAGCTGCCGGGAAAGGCCGGCAGGAGAGGCGAGGCTGCTCCAGGGAGCCGATCCCTGGGGCAGGCTGACTGCTCCCGTCCTGGGGTCGCTGCTCACGCAGTTTGGAGGTACAGTACCCATCCAGGACAAAAAAAGACTGATTTGGGGCCCCGGGGAGCTTTGCTTGGCGGTGGGCTCGCACAGATACATAGCACGGCCTCGGCGTTTCCTCGAAGGTCCCTCGTAAGCCTGGGGGCGAAGGTGTCTCAGGCTGGAAGGCAGAGCCCGGGGGCTCTTCAGATGCTCTCCTCCATTCCTGCTCCTTCCTCGCCTCCCGACTTACCCTCTCCCTCGCAGGCAGCGCCGCTGGATGTCAGGCAGGGCTGCCTGCCACCATTTCGGCAGCGCTATTCCCCTGCCCCGGCCTGGAACCGAAACCGGGGGATGCCGGGGACCGCGACGCCCTCCCGGCAGAGCCGAGCCGGCCCGGAGCGGAGAGAAACGGAGTTCCGCCGGCTCCTCCATCTCCATACCGGCCGGGGAGGGCTTCCTGTCCCCCGCCTCCCCCCCCC